GTTCTCTCGGGCGCGATTTTTTGGGGGGGGGGGGGAGGGGAGAGGGGGACGGGAGGCGGGAGACACGGGGGGCGGGATGAATATGTGGCCGGTGTATCAGGAAACACAGAGGGGCGGGGAGAGCGCGCGAGAGAGAGAAGAGAAACAGGGAGAGAGACGGAAAATATGCCTTTCTGTTCCATCAAGCCAAAGAACATCGATGGCCAATGCCGGGAAAGTCCACGTCCAGCGGTTTGGCACGCAGGACGGCAGGGGTCAAGGAATACAGCGACCGGAGGAAGGGAGCAAGCATGCTCGCTGTTTCCCGATCTACAACCACGGCACATGGGCTTGTCACTCCTACCGACACGGCGCCCAACGGCCCAGCGAGTCTACCACCACCCACATGCATGTCACCTCACAATACATCGACTGCGATCAACAACAGCAGTGGGCACCTCCGTGGGCCTGGGCCGAGCGAGTACAGAGGGGGTCCCTGTATAGTGCCGATATGTGCACAGAAAAACTCACCGGCACAATACCGGACCCGCGCTATTCAAAGTACTGAGAATGACTTGGAAATTCAGTGTGTGCCCGCCGAAAACACCGGGACTATACTGGACATCGACACTGTTCAACCGGCACAAAAACAGGGACCCCCACTGCTGTGCCCCCCTTTCAGAGAGCGTGCACGTGCGCGTTCGTATCAAACCGTTTCTGCAAAGCCGTCTTTAGACACTTTCTTACCAACAGAGAGATATGTCAAAACACCGAAAAAAAGAGGGAACGTCAGCCCCAGAGGCACGGCCGACCATCAGAGGCTTTCGTTACATTTTCTACCCCCGAGCCCTTGAGAAAAATAAATATTCCGGGACGTCGAGCGAACATCTTGGGTAGACGCAAAGCAGCCACAGCAGAATTCCTGTCGAAGCAATGTCACCCACGTGATCTACACTAGTGGTATACTTTCCTGCCACCACACCTACCAATGCCGACACAACCAAACACCCAGACATGCCTGCAGTTGATGATGAGGAAGTCGATGTCCTTTCCCGTCAGTCCGACCTTCTCCAGCACGCTCCCGACAACGTCGAAGATGACGATCTCCGCTTCCGTACGCGCTGCCTCCACCGACCTGGACACACGCCGCCCCAACCGCGAGTTAAAGCTCAGCACCGGCAATCTCGGCGACAAAATATACACGGCAGCACATCGCCCGCCACAGTCAAACATGTTCCACCAACCAACAGAGGTGGAAAAAAAAACGACTCGGTCTCGGCGAAACGTACAATATACCGATAGACATTCAGCGTTGCCCTCCAGAATCGAACACGTTCCCTCGACCAACAAACGATTCGGCAAGAACCGCGGCAAAAAGTTTCCTGGTACACGTCAGCGTCGGCCGCCAAGGTCGACAACACATGCCCACAACCAAGAACCCAAAAACGACAGACTCAGCACGCACGAATCTCGGCAACGTGAACCCACTACAGTTGAACACATGAAAAAACCTCCCACCCAAGAACCTTGTGCCTCGACAACTCCTTGGCCGCTTGCTCATGACTGACTCGCGATTGATTTGGTCGATTGTTCCATGGGTTGATCGGAAAAAATAACGAAAATGTGCGTTCTCGTGTGCCCGGGGGGGGGCACACACGGGGACCACCCAGCTAAAACTCGTGTCTGCGAACCCCCCATAGTCCAACACACCAGTCGGACGGGGCAAACAAACCCCAAAGAAGCAGCTAAGCTCTTGTACAGAGCCAGTTCAAAGAGGTCCACACTGCTCTACGGGTCACACGGGGGCCCGAGAACGGAAGGAAGAGTCGCACCTGTCAGCCGGAGTGTCCGGGTTCTCGAGGCACTTGATGATGCCAGGGGGCCACGCCGTCGCCTGCCCGGTACCAGACCTGCCGGAAAGTGCACGGTAGGGGGGGGGGGGGGTCACTTAGCTGAGATTATTAGCTTGCCGAGAGGAGCGCACGACCATATAGCGGCAGCAACAACAACAACAACAACAGCAGCAGCAACAGCAGCAACAACAACAACAACAACAGCAGCAGCAGCAACAGCAGCAGCAACAACAACGACAACACCAAGAATGCCAACGAAAGTAGCCTTAGCACGACACACAAACAACTTGCTGCTTCGGCACGGTAAAAAAAACAAAAGCGGATATGACGTGCGCTGGCACGCGTGTGGAACACGAGCTATCAACCCTGTCCTCTCGTCTCGTCTACCGCAAGGTTGCGCAAGGAACCACCACACACCCCGGACCGAAAATCGAAGCTCGACTTCTGCACGACGAAGAGGGAAGATACGAAACTCAAACGCTGAATTTTTCATAAAGGTCTCGACTTCAAACACCATCATTTCTCAGGCATCGTTACTGCTGTTGCTGCAGAGTAATGGAAATGGCTCCAGGAGGTGTGCTATCATACGCCACCAACGGTACTCGTGCAAAGAAGAATAAATACCGTGAAAGGCGGAGAGAGGGCACTCCGCTTGACCGATTTTCAAAACCCGAATATTGTACAACCAAGTTTGCGCCAACACGAAAACTGTGGTTTTGGAAACATATCGTCGGGGGCTTTGCGTGCATGCATCGGGCTTTTCCGCACCCGATTGGTTGTGGATCAAAGGAGTTATGAAAGTCGTCGGTCTGGGGGGGTGCCATGCCATCTCTACCCCTCTTGCGGTAGTTAAAGTTTCCACGAGGTAAAACGGGGACGCCAGCTAGAAACGGGTATTTACCATGGAATGTATGAAGCTGTAGCCAATAAGCATGGGTGAACCCACGGAACGACTTGACTCGACTCACTTGGATAGGATCTTTTCCATGAAGGACACCGACTCAGGGGTGAAGCATCCCTGCCGCCTCATGATCTCAGCGAGCTGGTCATGGGTGACCTGGCCGAGGAGAAACAACGCACACAGAGACAGAGACAGAGACAGAGACAGAGACAGAGACAGAGAGAGACACGCGCACAGAGACAGAGACAGAGGGAGAGGGAGAGAGAGAGACACACACAGGCAGACAGACAGACAGAAAGACAGACAGACAGACAGACAGACAGACAGATGCCAGTTGTCATTCCACTGCAAAAACGGCAAAAGATACAGTACCACCACATCGTTGAGACAGAAACTCCCGAACCCCTATGGCGTCGAAAACGAACGTGCTTCTTCGCCACACAGCGCCAAGAAAAAAAATAATACCGAACCCTTCGTGTGTACACAAGCGAACTCCTAAACCAAACAGGTTGGAACCAAAAGCGTGGTTGGAACCAAAAACACGTCGACACCGCTGCAGTTTCGAGCGCCGGCAACAGATGAGATAACTCCGAAGCACAAAGCACGCCCCCGTGTCGGGTCAGAACCAGACAACATACTCGTCACCAACAGCAATACTGTACTCCTCTCTTCCCATCCAGAGGGAAGCGACAGAGGCGGACAGACGCGTATCGGGTTTTCATTTCAAACACAACACACAAATAGTGTTCGCTAACAATGAATTCAAAGACTACTAATCCTTGACCCGTATCTACGGATAGAGATGGATTTAATGTGGAATGTTAAGGAGAGAAAACAAAAAACAAAAAAACACGCACACGGTATCTGTATGTAATCCGGAGAGTACCATGAGACTTCCCCATGACGCTCTCTCACGGAGGGCCCACATCGTGGCCTGTAGAAGCATGTTCTGTTTTCAACCGCGCTGAGACTGACGTCTTTTCATTGGTCAGCCGGTTAGCGTGGTCGATGCTATCAAGAAAGACACACATAAAAACATTGAGCGTTTTCAACCGCTCTGAGACTGACGCATGTTCATTGGTCAGTCGGTGACGATGATAAACACACACACATCACACACATCCCACCTTCCATTCCTCAGGGGGCTCGAAGGTTGAGAAGTCCACCATGTACAGCGGCGCGCTCCCGCGAGACATCCACCACACGAACACCACGAACAGCGCCGTGCTCTTCCAGCCCAGGTCGAAAAACAGGTCCCTCGAAGTGGTCTGCAGCGTGGACTGCATCGCTTCCTGCAAAAACAAGAAAAAACAGTAAGGGATGAAAACAAAAGGGAGCGCGTGCAAATTTTACGGGCAGCAGTGCGTCCTCCGGAGATATGTAAAGGGGGGTTCGTTGGATGGAGGCGTCTGTTCCAACTCGCATCCGTTCTTGCGGGAAAAATCAACGCCTCTGCCGGGAACGGCGGAGGGGGGTTGCCGCGCCCACATTAAAAATAAACGGCTCAGTTCCGAGTTTTCGCTTGCACTCTCAATATTGAAGCCATTCTCCGAAACGCGCCATTGCGTGCCATGCCCGTATGGTCCAGAAAAAGTTGTGCGGATGTGGGTCATGGATGCGTTACACGGGATGCGAGAAGCGGAAGCACGAGCTACAAAATACGGCAACTACGGTAGGGGCGGGGACGACCTACCTCCGCGGCTGTCGTAAGGACTTGGGGACATCGCAACACTGAGCTGATGCTCTTCAGCATTTGCTGCTGCTCCTCTTAGATAATACGGGAACGCGCACAGTCTACGATACATCCCTCCAACCCTGTATCGGCCGTCTACGCAATACGGAATGCGAACTGGCACCCGCGGTGAGACAATGCTTCGGAGATACATACGCCGACCCCGTTTGCTCCCTTTCCCTCACCCTTGGTGATGTGAAGTACTTAGCATGATAACATATGTCTAGTGGTGAAAACCTGAACCTGCTGCGTCCCGGTGTTGTAAGTATGTGAGGTCAACGGTCTAACGACTACGGCAATGAGTACACATACACCCCTCACCCTCAGCGCGTCTTGGTTGTTCCACGCCTCTCCGCACATCTGGGCCACCAGAACTCCCAGAGCGAGCAGGAGCAGGTGGGGCAAGTACGTGGACGCCACCTGGGGGAGCAGACGGACGACACATGACAGAATACACCAGTGCGAAGACAACCGGGAAAACAAAAAATCACAAACAGACGGCACTTGCTTGTATGGCCGGAACCCTTTATGCGGAAGGTTGTGAATAAAAAAGACGGGGGGGCGAGGATGACGCGAAACTGTCAGCAACCCCCGTGAAGGGATGACATGGGAGGAGACTAGAGAGGGTTCTTCGTGGGAACGGCATGGCATTCTTCCTTCATTTTTGGTGTTGTTCCTGCTGGTCGGCTGCTGCTGCTCTTATAGCTGTTGCTGTTGCTACTTCTGCCAGTGTCAATGCTTCTTTTGGACCTCGTCAACACGCGTGCAGACCCCTCTGCACGCCACGCCGTACGCTCAATACGCTGCAATAGACACAATCACCAACACACGCCCAAAAGAGGACTTGCACCACCAACGAGACCTACAAGAGCGGACATCCGGTCTGTGTGCAGCAGCGCTTGAGGTCACCAGGGATAGTGAGGAGGGCCAGGTTGCGTAGAAGACATCATTCATACTCGATTCCCGTCTCCCGCATCAGATTGTGGTGAATATTTAGCGGTTTACATTCTCGTTCCGTTTGGTGAGTACTTGCTTGGATTCCCCATGGATGTTTTGAAACTCTCACCCTCCCGCCTCTTTTCGGATTTTCACACAAGAATTCCAACCGCCGTTTCGCCGTTTGCTGCTTTCTGGAGCAAAAACAAATAAATGCCATGCAAGCCCACAAACAAACGCGAGAGATACCACCCGGCTACCTGCACTTGACATGCCCGGAAGCTGCTTTGCTGTACCAGATAGGAAGCCATCATGGGGAATCATATCGTATACATCTTGCCGAGAGAGGTTACGGAGGTAGATCCTGGCAACACAATAACATAATATGACGTCTCCGCGCGCACGCGTACGCGCCGTTTTTGCTGATTTGTCTCGAGGGAAAAAGCACAACAGACTTGACACGGGGTTGATTGTTGATTGATTGCAGAGGGCACAGCTTTGGATTTCTCACTCGACAGACTACCGTTCGAGCTGAAAACTGCTAGGACACGGCATCCTATGTACCACTGCTCTCTTTCCGTGGAGCGCGGGGGCAGTGGTGTGCTGATTCAACCGACCGGGAGGTGCAGCACCAGAAGCCGTCTTGCGAATTTCGGCTCCGGCTCTTCATCCGATTTTTGTTCGACTTCGCGCTACACACAACAGCAACAGCAGGACACAACAGGCCTACTCTGCGCTCGGTTGATCGAAGCAGCCACACAAACGCCCATGCTCCTTGGAATAGATTGAGTGAAAGCAACGGACATTCCAACGGGTTTGAGCATGAAAGGCGGTCTGGCAGGTGAAAAGCATTTCAAAAGGACAAGGTGTATGTCTTGCAAAAAACCACGGCTGCTGGCACAACACGGGGGAAGGAATGCATTGCGCACCTTGCACCTCCAGCGTTACGTGCGCGTACAAAGCGCCCGCGCACAGCAGTCACATGGTAGTACAACATGGTGCCTTTGGTGAGGATAGTGAGATAGATGGGCCATTTTCTCGTGTTGCGTTCCCTGAGACTTGTCGGCTTGGTGTGGAAGACAGAGAGGGGTAGAGGGGGTGGGGTTTTGTTTTATCTCCTGCTGTAAGGAAGCCGGCTTCTGCCTCCTGTCTGTCGCCAAAACTCAGACGCGGGAATTTCTGGTATGGGGGCTCGAAAACACCACAAGAAAACATGCGGGAATCGGTCTAAATCCACCTGGACGACGGGATTCCCGCTCCGAAATAACCAACAGCCCGCGTACCCTGTCGAACTCAAAAGGCGGGAACGCTCGCATATATGTCTTTCTGTGTTTGAATTTATGCTTCCTAATATTTGTGGATTTTACGGCAAACAGGAATGCGGGAAGCGGGAATCTGAGTTTGAAAGATGTCTATAATAGAGTAGCTGTAGCACCGGGGGGGGGAAAGGTGTGTAGGACTACACCAACCTGCATGTAAAATTCCTGTAAATTTCGGCTGGGACACAATTTATTTCCCTCCCTGGACCAAACGGCCTGCAGCAGAGAGAATGGAGGCAATAATGCGACCGGCGCTAGATGCGAAAGAGGCTGTACAGCAGTGTCGGAGGTACGTTGCACTGATTGGTCTAGAGGTTTCCCCGCATACCGTACCGTACACATGCGTGGTGGGGTATGGAGTCATGGTCTAGAGCAGTAAGCACGTACAGCAGTGTTCTACAACCTACTTCCAGTCGTTCAGCCGTGACAAGATTGAGGCCAAAAGGAAGTATGGGATGCCTGCGACACAAAACGGGTAGCGTGGGCAGGAGGGGCGTCCCTCATGGAACACCAACAGGGCTACAATAGCCCCCTCCGCTCTAGTCCACGTGTCCTCTGCTGCTGTAGTGCAAAGAATCAGGGCTCGCCCGCAATGAATACCGAGATTCAACTTGCAGCGAGAAGGGGAAATCCAAAAAAAAAAAAAAAAGTCAACATGATCCTGGGAGACGGCGGCGGGCAGCCTGGAAAAACGTGGCGTGTGTGTGCTAAAAAATATAAACTTTTCATCCATCCCACCACTCCGACACACCATCAATGGTGTCTCGGCAGAGACAACGTCCCGTGGGTCCAAAGGCCGGGCATATTCTATGGTTGGCGGCCAACAACAGGCTGTACATATTTCATTGCCAACATTATCCTCCACAATCCCGAGTCTCCAACACACAGCACCCGCCACGCGCACCTGCCACCAGTTGATGAGGCGAATCAGGCGCGACTTGCGGACATGGTAGAGGTTGTCCCCCGTATCGAAGTCGGACATGTCCGTCATGGAGATGTCGTTTCGGCGCATGGCCGGCGGCGGTGGTGACGCTGCCGCAGGTGCTGCAGCTGCATCATCAGCAGGCTTGGTGCCTTCTGCCATTATCGTAATGTAACCTCGCTTGGCCCGCGAAAAAAACTACTCCTCCCTCCCGGTTCAGCAGCCAGTCTCGTCCTCGTCCGATGCTCGCTCCCTCCTTTCGCTCAAAAAGCTGTGTCGGGTGTGTATGCAGACCCAGACCCCCGCACAGGAAAAACAGCACGTAAGGAAGCAGCAGCAAAAGGAGATGATACGCGTGTGTATGACGAAAAATACGTGTGCGAGACTCATGCAGCGAACAGAGGCCGCGCAGGTCCGCGTTGTGGCGAGCTTGCGCGGCCCTAAAGGAAACAGCCATATTGAATCACCTGGGCTCCTAGTAGCAAAGCAGGGTCAGAACCTCAGAGCTCTCACCGCTCTCCCGCGGGCAGCGCGTGTATGTGTGCCCAGGGCGTGTATGTGTGCCCAGGGTCCCAAAAGTGAGGCTATCTATCGTTTTCAAGGTCAAGAAAACATATGCACACACACACACGTACTTTTTTTTCTGGCGGGTGGGACTACAGAACGGCCGGACCCGGATCTACGCTAGAAGGAAGAGAACTCAACATCGAATCTCACCGGATTTCTCTGCCAGGCGGGTGCCGTGTGCACAACGATGTGAACCGTTGTACGCCTTGACTGCTGCCTGCACAGGCGGCAGAGCGAACGCAGGGGGGGGGGTTACGCAGCTGCGAGTTTTTGCTGACAGTGGTGTGATTCATGCGCGTTGATCGGTGCCGGTTGGCAGTTCACCCCTCCAGTGCTTCAGTGCTTCAGTGCTTTCACCACCACAGCAGCGTCACAGCGTCACAGCGTCACAACGTCACCGTTCTTCGTCCTCGGGGAGATTGCATCTCACCCACCGGCCACCACTATCTGCACTTAATAAAAGTGTCGTCTGTTCCTGATGTGTGTGTGTTACGTACATCACAACAAGCTCCGTCGACAATATTGGAGACTCAACAGCAGAGGAGAGTCTACCGACGTACCTATATAGTCTACGCAACACTGCCATAGATACATTTAGTCTTGTAAAGAAACACAACATTTGTCCAGTCAGGGTTTTAGCTTTTATCTAATATCTACAGCAGTATAGCAGTGTAGTCTACATGATGAAGTCCGAGAGAGGTGTTTCATGGTGTCGTCGGTCGATCGACCCCTTACATGTTGTTGTTGTTGTTGTCTTCAAACCGTTCCGTTCTCTCTGCCTAGTACCTTGTTCTGTCCGTACTAGTCTTAACACTTGACGGGGTCGATTCCCGTGGTCACAGGCTAACTTACCCAACACAAGGTATACGAAAATAAAATGGACCCGAAGGGTCCGTAAGCCAATAAAAGTCAACGACAGATAGTCCAGGCCACTCCGCTCGCCGGTCTGCACTCTTTGCGAGGTAACCCTAGATTGGCAAAATATGGAAAAAGAAAATTATATGTATGTGTTGTTTTTTATTTAATTATTTAGTTCTTATTTTTGGGTTTTTGGTAGACAAAAATTCTATGTGTTGTTTTTTATTCAATTATTTAATTACTTTTTTTGGGATTTTTGGTAGACAAGTTTTTGGTAGACAAGTAAGAAGAAAAAGAAAAAGAATTGAAAAGAGAAAAAGAAAAAGAAAAAAGAAAGGAAGAGGGCACATGGAGAGAAGCAAAGGGAAAGAGAAAGACACAGACAGAGAAAGACATACGCCGTAGCGACAAGCAACAAACAAACAAACATAACAACACAAAACAACACAAGACAAAGCGGGCCACTCGAGCCAGCCCATGCAAGTCATCGCTCGCGGGGGGTTGGTGCAATGATGCAGTGCCGGGGGGGGGGGGGGAGGGGATAAGTCAAGGAACAGGTTCATTTCGGCACGGTGTTTCGTGCCACTCGGTCCGCCTCTTCGCGTGTCCTGCCTTTTCTCGCCGTCTCGTCCGCCTGCTGTACCCCTCCCACCCCCGTGGTTGTTGCCGTGTCCGTCTTGTTGTCGGGCTTCTTGTTTCGTTTGAGCGCTCGTTGTCGGCTAGCCTCCTCCTCCTTCTTGTGCCAGGAGGCCATGAAGCTCTTAGCTCGCTACAACAGTACCCCTGTATGCCACGGCACCCCCCAGTCCACCTTCGCTGCTTCCATCCAAGTTGTTTCCGGGACTCCGAAGAAGCATGGCTCGGCGTCCGTAGATCCGTGCTCTGCTTCGAACATCTTGAGGTCGTCCTTCAGGCACATCTATCTGCCACTCACTGTTGCTCCGGTTTCCCCCTGCCTGGACCCTACCCCCCCACCAATTCGCCAAGCATCACCCGTTTCGGGAGTCGTACGTCTGGCTGCCTTACCAGCGCTCCCGCGAACAGCAGGCGCCGTTGCCGGATAGTGGTTTCCACGCTCTGGCACCCTACCCTCTTCAGGGTGTGGGCGTAGGAAAGCTGCCGGTATGTGCCCTTCTTGCGTTGGTAACCGATAACTCGCAGGAGCAGTCGGTGGCGTATCGTCCGCAACGTCCGGTAGTGGTCTTGACGTGGGGCTCATGCAGTGTGTCAACTAATTTGTTCGTGAGGATCTGCCGCGCCCCCGCAGCCCGTGCCAACTCTCCTGACTCTCCGATTGTTTCGGTCAACTGAATACTTCTTATCTCGAACGCGTTGTATTTTTTAGAAACATGCTGTGTACTCATCGTTGAAGAGCGTCTACAATAGACCGTGGTTGCAGGTGTTGTTGCTGTACGTGCTTGTTGTACAGGGGTTGGCGATGTTGCTGCCGGTCGATGCGAAAGATGATTCCTATAGTATCAACGGGGGTACGTGTGTCGAAAACGTCATGTTACAAATTTTTTGCATGTGAATTTTGCTGTGCTGGCGCTTGGAGGTGTTCTCGTCGTCTCAAGGGAATGGACCGCCGCTACCTAGTATTGGGAAATATGTATGTACAATCATACCTGTTCCCTTGTGGCGTCAGCAACGGTGTGCGTGTTGCCCGACGGTTTGATTTCGGTTCGGGGCGACAAAGAGGTACCAGCTTCCGCACTGCTGCTGCTCCTGCTGTTGTTGTTGTTGCCATGAAGTATTTGCTCTACAGGCATGATGACAGGATACGAAATTTCCTTTCCTTTTGAATATCGAGGGTTCGTTCGCGCGAGATCAACCGATCCCCGCATTGTTGTTGTTGTTGTTGTTGTTTGTTTTCTTACTAAGTTCCGATCTCTCTACCCAGTACCTTCACAGCACACGGGCCTACAACAACAACAACGACAAAGATACAAGGGCAATCCCTTCAGACCAAGCGCTCTATCAGCTGAAACCTGACCCCTACATGTTAGGTACCTGTGTCACAATCCTCTCAAGAGATAGACCAACGGCACGTTTCTTTCTCTTGGATACAACAGGTACCATGTCCCTCCCTGTACCATCATACTTAGACTTAACCGGAGGATTACCGTAAGAGTCGGAGAGTTGGCACGGGCCGGAGAGATGGCACCGGTCGGAGAGATGGCACCGGGGTGCGATTATAAACCCGAGAAAAACACATTTAGTTCGATTTACACACCGGGGTTGGTGAGATCGCACCCGGTGCGATCTCTCCGACCCCGAAATCCAAGATTGACTCCTTTTCAGCTGCCGGAATGAGGTACATGTGCGTACCTTTTACACGTGGGGACGGAGTCAGCCGGGCGCCACTCCTTTACGTACGATTGGATGGTCGCGGTTCGCGCAGGATGCCAGTTGTTTTAATGTTTTTATTGGTATGGAAGTTGCCAACCGTACACTCAACAAAACACACAACGTACAAGCCGCACCCTATTCCACCTTACACAACCCGAAGCTATTGTACTTCTGCGTACTGGTATCCGCAGAAGAAGGCCGAAACGAAAGCGGGAAACAACTGATACCACCTCAGATGCGCTATTTCGCCGCTTTTTTCGGGGTATGTTGTATGTGTATTTCGCCGCCTTTTTTCCGGCTCAGATATGCGTGTGTGTGCAGAAGACCGTGTGCGTGCGTGGGTACCTACATTCACTGGTATGGCAACGGTCGGGGAGATGGCACTGGGGTGCGTGCATACAACACCTGTGTGTATTTCATCGGGGATCACACCGGTCGGAGAGATCGCGTCGGGGTGCAACACCTGTGTGTATTTATTTCATCGGTGATCGCACCGGTCGGAGAGATCGCACCGGGGTGCCTTGAAAATTCTAAACGAAATGATTTAATTGCATTTCCGCACCGGGGTCGGAGAGATGGCACCGGGGTGCGATAAAAAAACTGAGGAGAAAACATTTAATAAAACGACCGCACCCGGTGCCAACTCTTCGACTCTTACGGTAGATCAGGAAATTCGACTCATACGCGCATCGCTACTCGAACCCGCAAAGGACATTCACTGTGAAGACTTCAACACATCCCGTTCGACTGTGGTCTTAACTCGAATGGGTAGTCTTTCTGTGTTTGTGTTTTATGTTTCCTAATAGACTAACTGTCTACAATGTTGCAACCAGAGCGGTTGGCATCTACTTGCCTAGGATCTTCCCGGGCGCAACACTCCCAACACCTTTGCAAACTAGCCCTAGGATTGACCCCCAAGAACAAGAGCTCTACATGTATTCACAAAATACTCTCCCAGTGGGGGCTTAACCCTCTCCAGCCCTCGTCCTTAGCCTTTGTATCTCGGGTGATCAGGCCTTGGTATTCCTGCTTCACTTCTGCCCTCACTCAGGTCGGCGCTCTTCGACTTCATCTCTAGACTCGTCGTCGTGCTTGTGCATGTACTTCTGGAGCAGGCGGGCCAGCTCGGCGGCAGGGCTCGGTTCGGAGTTGCTCTCTTCAAGCCTACGCGCGGAGTAGGTAGAAGGAGGTTCCAGCGTGTCGCACCTGTGCGAACATCGAGCATGGGACGGGGAAGGCGGAGGAGCGGCAGAGACCACACTCTTCGATGAACGGGTACATGCGCGCGACCACACGCCCTTGCAAACACACGAGCGTGCGTGAATACGTCCATCACCTGTGTACAACGCGACACGCGATGCACACCAACCCAGAAAACGCTTTGTCACTAGTCCTCTAAAACTACAAGAAGCCGCCCTGTTTTTCCGTCGGGCCCGAACTCACCGTGTGCATCTGGTCTCTCCGGTGTTCCTCATCCAGTTGGAATGTTGCGAGTAGTTCTCTCTCTCACTCTCTCTAATTCTCTCTCTCTCTCGCTCTCTCTCTCTCCTCTCTGTACACAATCTCTTTAATCTCAATATTTGTCTCACATGATGGCGCGATTTTCGGGGGTGTCTTTCTTGAGGGCCTTGGCGACATCGTTGTAGCACCGGCGACAGGATAGCCCATACTTGCGGCTCTTCGCCGCGCACCCGTAGGTACCGTAGGGCTCCCCGGTCTTGCAAGAGAGGTCGCACACGCGACCCTTGGTGCCATCACGGCTCGTGTAGGTGCAGCCGTCGAAGCAGCTAGTGACGGGGGCCGGGCCGGAGAGACGGGCGGGTAGGGACGGAAAAGGGGTTATTTGTCGCTTGCCCAGGTGGGTGCATGGACCGTGTGGCTTGCCCACTCTCGGGTAAGATCACCATTCTTCCTGTTCCAACTACCAACAGGTATACATCATTTGTTTTTTGGTTGTTTTCAAACTGAGACTTGACTTGGTTTTGGCCGGTTTCACGCAGTCGACGCTGAACCGCACAGACAAGGCGGTGGACCCCACACAAAGGTCCCGCCACACTCCTCACCCATTGGATTTCCACTTCGGTTCGATGCCGTTCTCGGGATCGCCGCGCCACGTTTCCTGCGCCTGCCATTTGGGCTGGACCCCGTTCTCCGGGTCGCCGCGCCAGTTCTGGGCCGTCTTCCACTTGGGTTCCGACAATTGGTGTTCGTCCTTGAAATCGTACTCGTCGCTTCCTCCCGTGTCGTGGAGGTCGACGTTGAAATCGTGGTGGTAGCCGGCCTTGAAGTGGTAGTTGCTGCTGCCTTCCGTGTTTTGGTACTCGGTCTTGAAATCGTAGTTACTGCTACCTCCTCCGTAGGAAAGCTTGTCCCGCGTGGTGGTGGTTTGCCGATGGCGTTGAAACGGGTAGTAAGGGAAGGCGTACCGGGGCATCTAATTAGCGAGCACCAGTCAGCCGGCGCGTGAGAGTGACCATGTCAGGTGAACGCCTCGCTTCTCAAAGTTTAGACAAAGCCCCAGGGTACAGTTATTGGTTTCTCCAAACAAACAGAAAATCCACACCGAACCTGACTAATTATAGAGGACCCCGTCGAATCACTTCGTTCACAAGTCGGGCGAAAGCACTCACAAAACTCACCAGATCCCCCGTCACGAACTTGAGCGGACAATCCACGCAGAGGGGGTCTTCCAAGGTTTGCAGGAGCGCCGCGCCGAAGGTATCCATGGTGGTCACCGCCTCCTCCCCGCTGAGCTCCTCCTGCTGCTGCCGCCGCTTGCCGTCCGCGGCGCGAACGTAGCTCACGAAGCTCTCGTCGTCGTTGTTGTAGATGGCCGCGCCATCCCCGCTGAAACCGGAGCCCCCGACGCCTCCGCCTTCTCCCACGGACAGCGACTTGACCCAGAAGTCGTCATCGGGGTTGTCGGTCTGGCCGTCGAAGGCCAGGCTGTAGAGGTCGTCTACGGAGAAGACGGGATCATCGACGGAGGGGTCGTTCTTGGACAGGGCCGATGACGGGATGACGGCGAGGGCGTCGTAGTCGGACAGCTGGGATCGGGTTTCGTCGTCTAGGAACGCGCTGAAGAGCATCTCCGAGTTCATGTCGCCGTAGTCGACCTGGGTCCGGGCAGCGCAGCGCACAACACGACAAAGTTTGAAGGGGGGGCGACGTGGGTGTATTGCGAAGGAAGCAGGTATAATAGGGTGTTTCGATGTGGGATATTTTCACCACCGAGAGAGGCATCGACAGAAGGAGTTAGAGTAGTTTGGTGGTATGTAAATTTGGTGAAAGTAGGCTTCTCGTGGGTGAGGGCAACCCCAAGGTAAACGAGAAATCGAATTTGGATCGACATGTCAAAAAAAAATAGAAACACCTATGTAGCAAAAACAACATACGTGTTCTGTACTATTTCCTACTTCAGCACATTCCTGGAAATAACTAATTAGCTTGATCCCTGGCACTCCGAACGAACACCTGTCGAGTCCCATGGAAAGAGTATGTTCTCACACGTATAGTAGATGCCACGCCGCAGAAGTGCTAAAGCACGCTGGCTACCACACGACGCACGCGGCATCACAGACCAGCAAAGCAACAACCTGTGGGCAGCTTTGCTCTTACCTCCTTGTCGGCGTGTGAGGAGATTGTCAGCACGCTTCCGAAGCAATGATTCGGGTCTTGGGATGCTGCAAAGGCGAACTCGTACGCGGACCCCTCGAAAACCAACAGGTCTACGTTGGTCGTCATCTCCCCGGGTGAGCAGGTCGCGGGCAATTTCCCAACGTCCGATTCGTTGTCGACAGGTGGGCAGAGAACCGCTAACCGCTTTGGTCGGCTGCTTCCCCGCTCATCTTTCACAGAGGCGAGATCCCCCGTCACGAACTTGAGCGGACAATCCACGCAGAGGGGATCTTCCAAGATTTGCAGGAGCGCCGCGCCGAAGGTATTCATGGTGGTCACCGCCTCCTCCCCGCTGAGCTCCTCCTGCTGCTGCCGCCGCTTGCCGTCTGCGGCGCCAACGTAGCTCACGAAGCTCTCGTCGTCGTTGTTGTAGATGGCCGCGCCATCCCCGCTGAAACCGGAGCCCCCGACGCCTCCGCCTTCGCCCACGGACAGCGACTTGACCCAGAAGTCGTCGTCGGGGTTGTCGGTCTGGCCGTCGAAGGCTAGGCTGTAGAGGTCGTCTACGGAGAAGACGGGATCGTCGACGGAGGGGTCGTTCTTGGACAGGGCCGATGACGGGATGACGGCGAGGGCGTCGTAGTCGGACAGCTGGGATCGGGTTTCGTCGTCTAGGAACGCGCTGAAGAGCATCTCCGAGTTCATGTCGCCGTAGTCGACCTGGGTCCGGGCAGCGCAGCGCACAACACGACAAAGTTTGAAGGGGGGGCGATGTGGGTGTATTGCGAAGGAAGCAGGTATAATAGGGTGTTTTGATGTGGGATATTTTCACCACCGAGAGAGGCATCGACAGAAGGTATTAGGTAAGTGTGATTGTGTGGAAATTCGGGGGGTTTTAGAGGGAGCAGAGGGGGTCGTGGAGGATTGAAAGCGAGCGCCAGCGCCCCGAGACAAAGGTTTGAGAGGAGAAGAACAGCAACTCTGCCGGAAACGGAAAGTATCCACGAAAAGATGCAGTTATGACTCTGAAAATACAGTCAAGACTCTGAAGAACGACAGAACGAGCCCGATAAGCGAAAGTATTAGTAGAGAGTAGAGGGGGTCGTGGAGTGATGGGCACGGAGGCGGCCATCGAAAGACAGAGATAGAACGGGTTTGCTTGTCGACCCTGAGTGCGAAAAAATGTTCTTTCAAGGGCGTATTGTAGCGAGTGCGGGACGGGATGGTTGGAGTATTTTGAACAGAAATGCTGCGCAGTGAGAGGGAGTTGAAAAAGTAGAACGGAAATGCATTGCGAACGAACCTGACTTGTTTAATTCATTCGATCGAGGGCGAGAAATTTTCCGACGATTCGCGCAATCATTTAAGAATGAACAATCCCAGCGAAAGGCCAAATCGATCCCAGCATATCGTCGCACCAGGAGGCAAGTGCTGCTGCGAAAGGCTACATTGCCCGTGCAGTTCGTGTTTCTGTTGACTCCTCGACGTTTGACGTGTTTAGGGATGGGTTTGGAGGAAAGGGAACGTTTACTCGAAAAGGCAGTCTGTTGAGTTGCAACAGTGTATGCTGGCCAGGACAAATTGTGCTGCCATTTGTCTCCCTGCATTTCGTTTCCAAAACTACATCAGGATCACGCGCACACGACCAGCATTCACAGGAAGAATCTATCGCAAAGTGGCAACACAGCAGCATCAACACCTGGGTCATGTCACGCAGAAGATGGAAGAGGAACAAAAATCGAACCCGCCGGTTATAATATGGCGCACGTCTGGAACGATCCTGTCTGCGCATTCGAACGTATTCCTGGTACATCCTAACGAACACCTGTGATCCCTGGCACTCCGAACGAACACCTGTGAGTTCAAAGGAAAGAGTATGTTCTCACACGTATAGCAGATACCACGCCGCAGAAGTGCTAAAGCACGCTGGCTACCACACGACGCACGCGGCATCACAGACCAGCAAAGCAACAACCTGTGGGCAGCTTCGCTCTTACCTCCTTGTCGGCGTGTGAGGAGATTGTCAGCACGCTTCCGAAGCAATGATTCGGGTCTTGGGATGCTGCAAAGGCGAACTCGTACGCGGACCCCTCGAAAACCAACAGGTCTACGTTGGTCGTCATCTCCCCGGGTGAGCAGGTCGCGGGCAATTTCCCAACGTCCGATTCGTTGTCGACAGGGGGGCAGAGAACCGCTAACCGCTTTGGTCGGCTGCTTCCCCGCTCATCTTCCGCAGAGGCGAGCGCTAACCCAACCAAGGCCACGGGTATCGCACTGGCAAAGCGCATGGTCGTGTGCTGCTGTATTTCAACACTAATGTAGCTTTGTGAAGTTGGCCTTTCGACGATGAAGCAAGAAAATGCAAGTGGCGCGGGAGTGTGTGTGCGGTGTGCGCGAATGAGGAAAGAGGTCGGAGGTTTAGCGGGGAGTTCGGTCGGAAATGAATGATGGATGATGGGAGTGCTACTGCTGTAGAAGGATGATTGAGATGAGAATGTGTTGTAGGTTGATTCACACGAAGTGGGGATGGTTGAGGCGAGAAGTCGATATTGATTCACTCAAGGTGGAGATTTCGAGTTATCGTTGCGGTCGATCGACAGCATGGGAGTGGGCTACTCTATAACAACTGGCGGTGTGGAGGCGGGGCCTGCCTGTGCCAATGAAAAAAACTGGCGCGGAATCAAGGCGATGCGCGCATGATCCATAGACCCAATGCCGGATTGCGGTTGGGTACGCAGAGATCAAGTGAGGAGTCTGAGAGGTTGGCGATGCGCGAAACGAGAGATAGGTCTGACAGGACTGTAAAGGAGCATGAAATATGGAGAAACTGCTACTACGGATCAGTAGATCTACATGCTCTACAGCAGTATCTTGCGTCACCCCATGATAAATATCGCCTCGGTCCTATTGCGTGTTTGTCCTCTTGTATACGCCATACCCCGAGGAGCATCTCCCGGTGCACAACCGTCGTACAACAGTAGCAGCAGTAGGTCCACGGCGGTACGAGCGTACTGCAGAACCTCTCGAAACCATGAAACCTGAACCCCCGTTTGTTGCTGCTCGGAGTTAGGCGCGAACGTATTGCGCCGCACCGGAACCGAGTCTAAGGTAACAGAGGTTATGTGTTATGTGTGTCAACCCCCTTTCCGGCATCTGCTGCTGTACGTTATCTTGCCCTGGCATCCCAAGCCGACCACCCAGGTATACACCGCCCCTCTCCTTCAACGCCTCGTCATTGCTCCAGAAGTCTCATTTTGTTTGTTTGCCAACCCCGACCTGCCGCGGTAGGCGCAATGTTCGCCCTGCGGTTTTCAAGGGTGCGGCCCTACCCGGGCTATTGTAGAGCGTCGCAGCAGGTGCTCCGCGGAAGCATCAGCAGCAGCAGCGGGCGGCTTCTCAGCGTCCAGAGAGATGGCACGCGAGTTGTCGGCGGAGAATCAGCCAACGGGCGCCAGCGGCAGCACCGGCAACAGAAGCACCAGGACCGCGGTGGACCTCACGACAGCGGCAGCAGCAGCAGCTGGGGTCATGAAGGGGCGAAGTTTGTTCGGCAAATGGCGTGGTTCGTGTGCGCGTATCAGTGCCTGCGGGAGTATGTTGTAGAGCCCTGCTTGGTGCATGGTCCGTCTATGAGACCAACGATCGAGCACAATTCTTTGCTCCTTATCAACAAGGTCAGTTGGTTTCCTCAAGCCCTCTGTATAGGCCGGTCAACTGTACTTAATGAATAGCGTTTGTGTTTACAGGTGTAGTTATCAGCACAGTAATCAGGTTTGCGGATGTCTATGTTAGGGTATTTGGTGTAGTGGGCTCCTATTCTCTCATAGATGTTCGTCTCACTAGTATAGCGGTTTGCACACGCTCAGAACGGCGAAGACGTGGGCGACGCATGCACCCGAAAAGAGGTGTAAAAACTGCTTGGGTGTTGGTCCGGCCGAAGATCTCGTGCTTCGGTTCCAGGATAATGGGCGGGCTGTAATCTCGACCTAGTGATGTGTATTCTCAGACACCAGATTGCATGGTCTTCTTCGAAAGATGTGGCGAGCTAAACCCATGACCGATCCCGGTGTACGTGGGTGATCCAAAATGAACACAACCCACGAGTGCAACTGACCTCATCGACGCGATGTTTCCCTTGCGGTTCATCACCCTGAACAAAATCGTGAATTTCTTTGACAAGGGAGTCTCCATAGCCGGTGGGCGGTTGTTCTCCACCCTTGCGAAACCGTTCGGACTTGCTGCTCCTTCCTTGTTGCTTGGGTCTCTCGCCGTCTTTCTGGCGCCCCGTCAACGGCGCTCTTGGGCGTGGAGTATCCCGGCGGCGTCGCCGTCTGCTCTCCGTGTCCACAAGATTTTTCCTATGCAAACCCATGCATTATTTTGTTTCCAGAATGGTGTGCCCTTTTGGGGGGGTACTTGGCCTGTGACCACACGGAAAGCCACCAGGTTGTCAGACGCACAATGCTGACGAATGACTGCATATGGTCGACGGTTTGTTTAAACGGTTGGAACGTGGTGCTACGGCTAACCTAAGCTTGGCGTCCGCGCGGCTTGCAGATGGGCGGGCGCGGCAGGACGATCGAGGCCGGACAGATAGTGCTCGTCCAGTCACCCCTCGAGATCGGTAGGCTGGTGGTTAAGAGAGTCACGGGGCTCCCAGGCGATTCGATTTCGGTGAGCCTTGTACGTCGCTACCGAAATTGTCGTTTTCGCGTGCTGCGAGTGTTGGGGGCACTCGCCACCCGGGAATGGCGGAGGTGTTGTCGTCGTCGTTTACCAGGCATGTTGGTTGACTCTCGCATTAGGCTATGTCCGACACGTAAACCCAAGGTAAGACAATGTTGAACCCCACTCGAGGAGAAGACGACAAGGCCCACGTGGACGGTGGCAATCAACTCAGGGTTTCGGCCATCGTCACCAAACGTACGTTTTTCCAAGAGGGTGTTATCACTCGCTCTCGTTGTGGCCTTGAGGGGAAAAGAAGGCGACCCTCGAGTTGTAGAGGTTTCTAAGAAAGGCACGGTCCTGGTTGTGTGGTAGACTTCTGTGCTTTCATCAACACCAAAATATATCCCAGGTGTGTCTGATGAAACGCTGGTGTTTGCGTAGTTCCCGGAGCTCAAAAATTTCATCTTTCGGCGTGGGGACCGCAAACTAGCGTGACTTCCCCCCAAAGATCCCTCGCGCAGCGGTTTGTGCCTACTTGGATCTTTCTAGCCGTTCTGACGAAACACCAGGCAGGTTGTACCCCCACAACCTTCCACTTTTGTCTCTCCCTTTCAGAAAAACGCCATTTTAATTTTTTTCTCGCCGAAAGAAGATGCTTGCTACGGCACTGGCTCTCACACCCAGCAATTCCTGTTTCTGTGGACCTGTGCAACAACCTCAATCCCGCTCTCCCTGCTCGCAGGTCCGCCCCCCCGAGTGGGACGTGTACAACAGTCAAGGGATCGAAAAACGGTCAGAGGTGGTGCCAGAAGTGAGTGAAAATGCGGGAACCATGTGCAGATTGTTGTTTTGGAGGTGGCGGTATTTTGGCTACTACAGTGTCAAGGTTGTGTTCCTGCTGATTTCTGTTGCTTCGAAGCTCTATGTGACTTGCATGAACAACCACGAGCCTGAAGCAGAACACGAATTCCGTGACGAAATTTCGCTTCGAGTCTAAACAATCAATGAAACAACAATGGGAACGTTCAGTGCGGAGAACAGAATGAACCAAGGCCAACAAGCTCCGCTTTCACGCATTCTTCTTGTAAGATTGCGCGAAAGAAACACGACAAAATAATTTTCCACGAAGTCTTAGCATGGCTTTCTTGCCTTGTTTGTCTTATTTTATTATCCATTCGACTTTCGACCACGTCCGTCAGATCGTCCCAAGCGAGCCACCGATGGATAGAGTATTTCTCGAGATCAAACCGACTCTTGAGCTGTCATTACTGATAGTCACCGCTCCACCCTATTCCGCTCATTTGTGTGGTTGTCCCCGTTGGTGTTCGTTTGTGCCTTTGTTGTTATTTGTTTGTTTTTCTGCGTCTGTCCCACCTTGGATGACCGTGTCACGCACCACCGGCCCACTTGGACCCCAATCCAGCGCCGCTAGTGCAGCATCTCAGTTCAGATAACCACGTTTTTTTTTGTTGTCTCTCTCTCCCCCCGGGGTCTCGGCTTCTTCCTGTATCTACTCTTTGCCCAACCTGTCTTTCGCGGTTTTGGGGTCTGATCTTTCCCACAAGCCTAAACAGCATAGCTATTCCGATGTCCTAAGTACGAGATGCTGAATGGTGTTTTCATTGCCAGCCTCCCTCCGTTCCGCCGCGAAAAATTCATTCGATCAACTCCACTTCAATCCAAAATCATCTCACCTGCTGCTCCAATCCAGGGTCATGTTTGGCTAGCGGGCGACAACGTGGACAACTCCAAAGACTCTCGGAACTTTGGGTCGGTACCGCAGGCCCTCGTACTGGGGACAGTGCTGCTCCGCGTTTGGCCCACCAAGGACTTCGGTTTCATCGAGTAGATGCAACACTCGCGGGGGGCGACCCTCTCTCCGGCTCCCGTGGGCTGCCAGCCACGAAAATCCGTTGTCCTTTGTGTTGTACACGTATGGCGCGTTTATTGTGTGTGTGGCTATGGAGGACGGACCTCTCTCCGACTGTGGCCAGCCAGCCACAAAATGTCGGTTTGTTCGTCGTGTGTGTAGCTACCCGTTGACTAAGGCGCGTTTATTGTGTGTGTGGCTATGGAGGAGGGCACAAACTCCCTCCTTTGTTGGGTTAAGAGAGAAGTCTTGCACAAAGTGTAAGAGCCGACCCGTGTGTGTGTGCGTCGGCCGTGCGTCTTGTCTTGTCGATACTCGTGGCTTCCTTTCGTCGTTCACGCGCAGCATAGGGTAGACAGCAGCAGAGCACGATCTCACAACAGTGGGCTTGCTATCTGGGTCAACGAGCGTGCACGGCGTACCCATGACAGGCGAATGGTGTGAGAAATCATCCCATCGTCTGTCGTACATTTTTTCCGCCGAGAATCATCGTCTCCCTAAGGATTGGTTTTACGGTAGGGCGGTCAACTCACCTACTTTGACACATTCGGGTAGGGGGGTATTCTACTTGGAGCTTTTGGTTGCATCGATCTCTCGATATCAGCCCGGGGGTAGCCCCGGCCTCAACTGAAGCCCTTCCTTTTTTCTTTTTTCTTTGCCGAGGTGCAAGTCGTATACGTGTATGGTAGGGAGGGTGGTGGATGGAAAAGGAGAAGGATGCGAAGAGCAATTTTTTCGGCACCTGTTCTCTCAAAAATGATACGGTGGGAAGCATATAGAGGGGGGAGCGGCATGCGAACACCGATGTCACCAGCGTGACTTTATGGCATGGGTGGCAACGATTGGGAGGTATGCCAACCCCCGAAGTCACCGTGATGCCGATGGTATCGAACGATTCGGATGTCGTAACGGTAAATACAAATTACCGCGATTTCCTGTGGAACGGCAGAGACATGACCCAGGGCAGTTCCGACTGGGTACATAACCGCCGGTGTTGAAAGCAAGGTGTTGGGTGGAATGTCGTTTTTGAACGTCCCGACATAAGTCTACAGAGCAACAAACGGCGAACAAACCCGAAAAGAAAGACCCACGATGAAAAAAGACGAGCTACAATGATGGTGCGCACGAAAATGGATCGATGCATATTCCAGGCGGAGCACATATCCCTGCAGAAGTAACAAACCGCAAACCCAAAAAGAAGGTATTCTACGCAGACGAAGAGTAGATATGGCGAGAGCCGTGGGCATTAACCTGAACCTATTCGAAAGAAATCGGTAGCAAGAAGGCGGACCCCACGAATAGAGAAAAGGGGAAAATCAATTAAATGTACTGTAGTCCGACCAGACCAGGAAAAAGAGGACGCTGCCTCCCAGGCTTTAAAAACGGAGGCGTCAGAAAGAGGACGCTATGGGGGCAACCAAAATTCAAATTCTTCTTCGACCAGAGAGCGGACATGGCGCACTGGTTTGTGCGAGCCAAGGGAGATCACCTTTCCAGAAGTGAGGCATTCATGCCCCTTGAGGTAGCGTACGAGGGGCAGATGTGTGGGATTTTCGAAGACATCAAGTGCATCACACTCCCCATACAATGCCCACCGTCGATGTGGACACACTCAAGGCATATAGTGGACGAGAAGAACCTGATCGCGGGGTACTTTGCGGCCGCCGACAACAAGGACGAGCTTTATGATGTGAAATAATACTGGGGGAAGTACAGCTTCATTGGATATTCATCCGTCGACCGTGACCGTTTCGCTACACTTCACGGAGCCCGTTTACCGGGTGTACATCTTCCCAAACAAAGTTGCGTCCGCTTCACGCGAGGCGCTTTAGGGGGGCGGGAGTGAAATCGAGCAACTAAATTGTGTTGAGCGTTGTATGAGCGTTGCATGAACGAACGTTGTATGAGAGCTTCTTGAATATTTGGAAATTTCGTTGGATATGGATATTTGACGTCGTTGAGGGGTATTGAAGTAGCTTGAAAGAGGATCAAAATCCCAGCCCCGCTCCCTCACTCTCCGAGTGGGCTCTGAGCGGACCTGGTCTGCGAAGGCTAAAACAAGAGATCAAACAACAACTAACTGTGAGTACCCGAAGCTGGGAACAACGGACTTGCTCCCTTCCCTTTTTTTCTCTGTTCCTCCATAACAGCAGGTCAAGGAATGTCACTACGGGGCAAGTTATCGTGACGATGGATTTAACCTGTCGGTACATGCCCCTCTTGTTCGTGGGTCTACGGACATGGTTTGGATATGTTAGCCGTACGTACAAGTGTGACGCAGATGGTGTAGAACCTTTTAGGTAGGGGTACGGTGATGATGCACCGGGGCCCCCTTTTGTTGTGTGCAGCAGCCCTGCTGCCACTCCTCCTTTCTGAGCACGACAGCGCCCTGGGTACGGGCGTTGCCTCACCGTCTGAAGTTAATACACTACACAAACAATACCCGATAAGTACGCGGAGTACGGCCGACAAACACTCTAGAGTTTAGATTGATTGTCCCTCGAGGGATAGCCGCATCGGGTCATGTCTGCGTCGGACAGCGGTTCCGTCGCAGGGCTGGGGGAAGAGACCTCAGCCACGCAACAGCAACGCGCCGAGGATCCGGCGATTGCGAGGCTGGAGGGCCAGTTATCGCAGCTGATGAGCGTAGTGATGGAGTTGAAGAGGAAGGAGCCTGGTGACGCCGTGGCGGGCGATGCCAGTAGGGGCGGCGGTGCTGCCGTCCCAAGCCAGAGAGAGGCTCTGCCGCCTGGGGGCGGCGGGGCGTTTTCCCGGGAAACGGCCCGTGATGGGCGAAATCACCCGCGGGAAAGCAGCTGGGACAACATACCGGGAGCGAGTCCTGGGGTTCCAGCGAGAGTGACGACTGGCTGGGCAGGTAGATCGGGAGCGAATCCTGTGGGGCCAGCCGGAATGAGCCCGGGCGTAGGACCGGACCGCGGGGAAGCGAGGGGGTTAAACCCCCAAGGTGAGCAAACCGCAATTCGAGGGGCCGGAGCATTTTTTGATGGGTACAGCAGTAGTAGCCAAAAACGTGTTACGGTCAATGCACCGCGTCTCGAAGGGGAGAGTCGCGGCCACGGGTACGACTCGTGGAGGAAGGCCCTTATTCAAGCCGCAAAAACCGTAGGCTTGGACGGGCAGCTTATCGGCAACGCCGAGAAGCACGCACCCGTCGGTGACCCAAACAGGCCTAGCTCGGAGCTGTATAGCTTGGGCTACACAAGTGATGAGGTTCAGAGGGGCCTCCAGGCGTTCCACTTTGTGACTACAGCCATCGTCCGAGAAGCCGACAAGGCAATCGTGAATAAATGCGAGACCGCAAAGGAGATCCTTGCGGAGCTCGACAAAGTACACAACCCCGGAGTCGCAGGGCTCGAAACAAGCCCTCATGAAGAAGATGTTTCGATTCACGATCCCCGCACACAGCAACAGCAACCCTGTCGAGCATCTATACACGCTCGAGCTGCTGTACTCACGACTGCGGGAAAAAGGGCTCAACGCTGACACACCCTTTGTTCTCGCACACTTTGTCGATGCCCTTCCACCCGAGTACCAACAAGCCAAATTCTTCTTGGAGACGGCTACAAACCTGGACCGGGGCGAGATAATCAGGGTAGTCAGTACCGTGCACGCGAGCCTCCCGGAGGGGAGGAGGGCCACGAAGGGCCAGCGGAAGGCGGAGCATGCTTTCCTCGCGAGCGACGGTGGCAACAGGGGCGGAGCGCCCGGCCGCAACAGCGGCGGCCACAGCAAGGGCGGCGGCGGCGGTGGCAGCCAGAAGGGGAAAGGGGGTGGTCGCAAGGGCGGTGGTGGTGGCAACAGCGGCGGAGGCGGCGGCGGTGCAGGTAGCATGCACGGCCGCTGCTTCCGGTGCGGAGAGAAGGGTCACCAGGCGGCCGCCTGTACCAAGCCGGAGCCCCTGCGATGCGAGAAATGCCTGGGCTACGGACACGACAAGAGCAAGTGCTCGTCCGAGCAGGCGGTGCTCGCGGTGGAGCTGCCGGTCTTGGACGCCACCGCACTGGACGTGGCAGAGGAGGCGCTAGTGGTCCGTGACTTCACAGGCGAGTGGAACAGAGTCGTTGATCGAGGGGGTGTAGAGCAGGCCAGGCAGGAAAGGTTTGTGGCCGATACCGGCGCAACCAACCACATGTTCCCGAGCGCTAACGCGTTCGAAAACTACCATGAGTGCGATCGACGTTTGAGTGTCGCCGCAGGGAAGCAAGCCTTCGCCATAGTAGGCTACGGCGACGTGAGGGTGTCCATCGGTTCTCGCGTTGGGACCACAGACCTGCTGTTGAAACGGGTCGCTCATGTGCCGGAGCTGAATTACAACCTCGTGTCCCTCACAGCCCTTTTGAAGCAAACCAAGGGCCGCTTAGCCGCAGACGAGCGTGAGTTGGAGGTGTTCGTTGGTGGGGGGGAGTCGGTGTACTTCCCTCTATGGGGGGACCTGTTCGTTCAGACTGGTCACCGCATAGAGTCGGGTAGGGAACTAGCCTGTGCCATAATTGCTCCTGGTAACGCGAAAGCGAACCGCACCCCCGTTGACATCAACGACTTCCACTGCGCGCACGGCCACTCCCACGAGGTGCTGCTGAAGAACACGGCGAAGCAGCAAGGGGTGACTCTGGTGGGCCAGCTCCGGGAGATGCATGGGGTGCTCGACGGCAAAGGGGCTATCCAAGCCCATCCCCAACAGGACGTCAACCCGAGCACCGCTGCCTCCCATTGCAGAGGAGGACGAGGAGCTCACGACTGGGGAGCACGAGGGCGGAGGGGGTGCGTCATGCCACGGTGGAGGGAGGGCGGAGGGAGAACCTGAGGATGGAGGTTTCCACCTTGACACGACGGCAAACCCGGGGCCCTGCGGAGCCGCCCGCGCGCGATGCGCCGGCGGCGCCGCCGGCCGTGCCCCAGGAGTCGGGCGCGGGCGACGCTGGCGATGGCGCCCCCTCGAGCAGGGAGGGCGCGAG